AGTCGATATTTGCATCTTGGGATCGACTGTTCCAACTTCTCTTGATTTGGTTGATGTTAGGACCTTAGTCTTTCCTTTGAGCAGCCTAGCATCGACCATGTTTTCATCTCCTGGGAAAAGATTATCATCAATTTTCATTTTCTGAGGTGTATCAAATTTGAGTCTTCCTTGCTGAATAGCCCTCTGTATATGCTGCCAAAAAATTCTGCATTCATTAGTGGAATGACAAGTAGCGTTATAGAACTTGCAGAACTTCTTATTCTTCAACTGATCAGGGGGCAATATAACATGAATATCAGGCAACTTGATATGTCCCTTCTCAAGCAAGAAATCGAAGAGCTTGTCTGATTTCGTGACATCAAAGTCATAGCTCTCCTCGACTCCTCTTCCCCAAGGATTTGGCACCATTACCGTCTTTTTGCCCCAATTCCATTCAGTCGTGGCAACCTCTTCTTCTTCATCTTCATAGCCGTCATCGACTGAGTATGGATTATAAGCTTCAGCCACTGTGGTACTCTTCTAGAATCGGGTATCTCTACGCATACTCTAGAATTGGCTATTGAGCGCTGCTACTCGTTGAGCCAATTGACCCAGGTTGTCGAATTCTTGTCCCAGCAGTTTTCTTTCCATGTTGGCAGCATTCCTTGAACGGTCAAAGCAGCTAGCTGATCATCAACCAAGTTTAATGAGAAGCATAAATTCCTAGTCTCTCTGAACCTCTGAAGAAACTCAGTGCCCGATTCATTAGCTTTCTGCCTTATAGTTATCAAATCGGTAATCTTCTTTTCTCCAGTCCCAGTATAAAAATATGTATAAAACTTCTTCTCTAGGTCAGCCCAATTGGCAATGGAGTTAACTGGTAGTGATGAAAACCAAGTGAAGGCTGGCCCTGACAAGGACAAGAAGAAGAAACAAACTCGTTGGGCCTCTTCAACGGATGCTTTGCCCAACTGTGTGACATACCGACTGACATGTTCTATTATACTTGTGCTATCTTGGCCAGTAAACTTAGCAAATTCTGGGAGCCTGTAATTTATAGGAAGAGCGACCAAATCATACTATTCTGGATATAGGCGTTTGTACGAGAAGATCAGCCCTTTTGGCTTCAGACCAAACTGATTTTTCATCATCTTGGTCACCTTTAGCAACAACTCGTCAGCATGTGAATTTGGATTTCTCTGCACTTGCTGACCCATCTGTGGATTAAAATCTCGTGTGCCTTGATACCCTGGATTCAGAATCATATGAAGGGTGTTATAATCTGTGCCATAATGATACCCCTGTGGAATCTCTATCTACTGGGTCCTTTGCTGGTTTGCTGCTTGAAGTCTCTGGTTATAGACATTATGATCTATATCTCTACGGATCCTTTGAATTGATGGCGCTATTTTTTGAGCCGACAATGGTATGTGGCCTAATGTGCCAAAATTAATCACCTGGTTCTGACCTTGCCCCGTCGGCTATTGCACATGTTGCACTGACGATCTAGGATTATACTGTATCAGATTTGTAGTAACTCCTTGAGCTTGTTCAGATGAACTCTGAACTGCCTGGACATCATCATTACCAGCTGGTGCTACTTCTTGATGGCTGGTACCGACTTGATTAGTCCCCTGGGTCGATGGATGTGGAATGTTGTAATAAGCTGGTCCAACCTGATCAACTGGAAACCCATGAAACACCTCTTTCATGGCGTTGTGGAATGTGTCCAAAAAAACTTCATTATGGCTTGATATGGCATCATGAACAGATTTATTTACAGCTTCCGTGAAGAAATGTCTGTCTTTAGCTTCATCTGCATATGTCTGCCCATGTAATAGAACTCTTGGTAGTAGATATTTCTGAACAATTATGTTGTCATGTGTTTTGGTGTAGGACAACAAACACTTGTTCTGAAATTCTTCTACAGCTTTATCGATGACATCGTTATCTCCATCAGGAAGGTCTTCGTAATGTACCATAAGGATGTCGTTGTTGTTGTAAACCGCCATGACGATTGTGGTGTCCCACCAGGCATGACAGAACATGTGTCGACACGAAATTTTGTCCCGTGCCGAGGGCACACGAGCAAGCCGAAAGGGTCCGCTCGATGGAGCTGGAGACCCACCTAGCTTCAACGTAGGGATTATCAATCATGTGCACTCCTCCCGAGACATGCCAATCAATTTGACCCTACAATTGACAAGGAGAGAAAGCTAATCAGTAATTTAAGGCGGAACATGCCGGTGTTGCCAGACAGTCCCGAATGTGCGGCTCTGAGAGCCAATGTGGAAGAAAATCGACTAAATAGTCGATTCCAGCATACTCATAAGAATAAACCAGTTAAAGCTCATGGGGTTGTAGAAGAAAAATTAGTTATCATTCAGGATGAATATCGTTATTTAGACAAATAATAGTCAATGGCAAAAGGATGTCAACAATAATTAGTTTATGCTAAGCCAATGACTGCAAGTAACCGAATCTCTTTTTGTATAAAAGAAGCAGCTCATCATCATTTAACCATTTAATAGAGATAAATCTAATGAACATGTTAGATCTTATCTATCGTTATGACTAGTGGGGCATGAGGCAGAATCATGCAGGCCGTAGAAACAGCAATAAATTCGACGACCCTAACTTATTACTAATATCAGTGGGGCATGAGGTAGAATCATGCATGCCATAATACAATAATAAGAT